CGGCTGGAGCTTCGCAAATGCGAAGGTTACCCCCCCTGCCCAGTCATCGCAAATGCGATGGTTAGTCGCAAATGCGAGCTCGCAATTGCGAGCCAGGCTTCGCAATTGCGAAGCCTACAGACCTGCAACACACAGCAGTTTTCCTAAGTCAAATTTCACTCTGTGGCCTATCCAAAACTCACTCGAGCCCTCGGGGCTCCAAACCAAACATGCACGCAAGTCCAAAAACATCATACGGACTTTCTCGTGCGATCAAATCATCAAAATAATATCAACATCTATGAATTACACCTCAAATTCATGAAATCACTCAAGAACATCAAAATTACTATTTTCTCAACTATAGGTCCGTTTTATACCAAACCAATCCCGATCTTTACCAAATTTTACAGACTCAACTTAATCATTATTTCAAACTTGTACCGGGCTCCGAAACCAAGATACGGGCCCGATACCATCAAGAAAATGCATCAATTCACTTCTAAAACCTTTATATTTTCTAGAAAATAATTTTCTTTAAAAATTTATTTCTCGGGCTTGGGACCTCGAAATTTGATTCCGGGCATACGCCTAAGTCCGTTATTTTACTACGGACCCTACGAGACCGTCGGATCACGGGTCCGGGTCCGTTTACCAAGAATGTTGACCAAAGTCAACTTTATTCAATTTTTAAAAGCCAATTTGCATATTTTACTTAGTTTTCACATAAAAGCTTTTTGAAAATTGCAATCCGGACTGCGCACGCAAATCGAGGTGAGATAAAAAGAGGTTCTTAAGGCCTCAGAACACAAAATCGACTTGTAAAACAAGTGATACTTCATTAAAATTTAATCTAACTGTATAATTACACTTAGTGCAACCAAACAGTAAACTTATAATTACACTGTAATTACACTATGACANGGGCATAAAATTCGAAAAACCGAATTCCGAACCGAACCAAATTAATTTGGTATTTCGGTTTTGATTTTCTCGGTACAGAAATTTCGGTATTTTGATAATTCGGTACGGTATACGGTATTGGATTTTTAATATGTCGGTATACCGAAATACCGAAATAATTTTTATTCTTTGGCCCAATAGTTACTTGTCTTATTCTCACGACAAGCTATCTGGTTTGGAATAGGGCGTCCTTGTTTGTCCCACCAAAAACGACAACAATAGGGCGTCCTTGTTTGTCCCACCAAAAATGACAGCAATAGGGCGTCCTTGTTTGTCGACTCCTTGCATGAACATTTTGTTGTGTGCTATCTGGTTTGGAATCTCACTCGGTGAAATGAAGCCATTTGATGCAATGCTTTTCTTCCATTTAAGGCATTTCAAGAACATTGCCGAAGCTTTGTCTACGTCCAGATCCCTAGCTCGAAGAAACCTTCTTATCTCAAAATCATCTACTTCCTGAAAACAATCGAGGGCAAAAAAAATGGACTTAGAATCTAACTTAATCCAAAATTTTAGCACATAACCAACATGGATTACATTAGTTAATGGAGTGGGGGAGATAGGGAAGATTTGGTTTAAACCGAAACGTACCGAACCAAAATAAGAAATAACGAACCGTATCGAAGTATTTTGGTACGGTATTTGATATACACAATTGATAAACCGAATACCGAAATACCGGACCGAAATTCTTAAATACCGAAACGAAATACCGGATGCCCACACTTACCCGCCAGTTTAGCTTTACCAACACGCTGTCACGCCATTTCTCTTCAATTCCATAAAACCCCTTAACTACATTTCTGTACGTACTCTCAACCCTTGTCCATTCTGAAGGGTAAAGTAGTAATATCGGGTCTTCTTCTCAATCGTCCCATGTCGAACATCATATAAATACTTCCGGGCCTCCTATCTTTTCTCTTTTTCCCTCTTTTCCATTTATAAAATAAACGGCCAAAATAGAACTCCGCAGAGAACAGCCCGTGTGTGAAAATATGCGAAGGTTTTTTGGCATAGGCTCCACCGGAGACTCGCCGCAGCAAGATTCTCCGTCACCGTCACCGTCACCGTCACCGCCGACGTCTCCGTCTCCATCGCCTCCACAGCGGTCCTCTATCAATGTCGCTACGGGACCAGCGAGACCGATACGTTTCGTTTATTGCGATGAGAAAGGAAAGTTCCAGATTGATCCCGAAGCCCTAGCGGTACTTCAGCTTGTCAAAGAACCAGTTGGCGTTGTCTCCGTTTGCGGTCGCGCTCGTCAAGGCAAGAGCTTTATATTAAACCAGGTAAATTAAATTTGAAATTTCAGTAATAGAATATTTTCATCCTCCTTTGTTTATTAGGGTTTTGCTTTCTGGTGTTTTAGTTCTTAATTTTAACTGAGACTTTGTGACCTTGTAATTAATTGTTTGGATAAACTAGTTTAGCAAAGCACATTACTCTGAAATAAGAAACAGAATAGCAAATAAATACGAAGGAACTAAACCAGCAAGAAAAAGTAGGCGAGGGGAATTAGGGCTAGAAGTTTCCTGGATAAATGTGTTGCAGCTGTTGGAAAACTATGTATTACTTTATGTGGTTTGCAAATGTCATGTTAGCGATTAAAGTAGGGGTGAGTTTTGTAGTTCTGAAACTGCAGATGAAATAGTTCCTTCTAGGCTGTTATTAAGTGGATTTATCATTTCAGCACTAAATAAAAGATGGTCATTGTAGATGACCAAAAAAGAGATGGAAATACTCATTTAAAATATTGACTAGATAAATACAGAACTATGCAATGGAGGGTTTCTGCTGGAGAATAGAAAAGCATCAAGTGAAAAGCCCGAAAAAGCTCATGGGGATTTAAGTTAGAAACTAGAAGCTAAGCGTGCATCTCTTCGAAGTGAAGTTCACAACTCACAGAAAATATGAAATTTACTTAACATATGCTCTCTTTGTTCCACTTTATGTGGCACTACTTGATTAGGTACCCAATTTAATATATTAGTTTGACATAGTTGTGGAAGTCGAAGAAAATATTTACGGAACGATGAAAAATTAATGTGAAAGAGAAAATATCGCATCAAAACTTAAATATGATTTTCTAAATAGATTTGAGCTCTAGAAAATTGTGTAAATTGTAAAATGGTATTACTATAAATTAATTCCCTCTACCCTTCTCCAATTAAATACCAGACTTTTGTCTGCAGCAGGGTTCAAACCTGTTACGTGTGCCTAATCCATAGATCACACGCTGCGCTCTTATGGCTAGACTAAAGCACCAACGGCATAAAGTAGTATTAGTACTAGAATAATGTCATTTTAATATCTAGAAATGGAACATCCAATGTATAACAATGATGCTATCATTTAAAGACCTAGTTTCAACATCATTTTACACGTAACTAAGTAACAAAAGATCATTTTAAATGTAATTCTAGAAGTTCAGATAAAGAAAAATTCAAGCAAAAATTGATTTCAGTTTTCAATTCTTCAGTCAAGACGGCTAATTCAGAACATTTAATATCATATTTAATTGGTTTAGTAATTATACACATAGGTAGTTTCAATTACAAAGTCATGTTATATTCTTAAAATAATCAACCTTATATGCAAAACGGGAGTGTATTGGTTAGCACTTTACAACTTTAAAAGTTTGTTATGCTGTTGGAGAAGACATATTAAATTGGCAGATTTCACAAGAAGATATGGATATCTATTCCTCTGTGCATTGCCTGGACTATATGGATCGAAAGAAATTAGAGATGTTTTGTAGATAAAAAGAGATGTTAACTGTTGTTAAATATTGATGTTTCCAGAATTTTTACTATTCGATGAAAGGGAATTTAGTTTTGAATTTGAATGATATGCTGAAATTTTTTGAATAAGTGAATGACATGCTGACCTTGTTAGATTCTCTGAATATGTAATGTAAAACGAGTCCTGCCTTTTGTATTTGCTGCTGTACTATCTTGATACTGTTTCTTAATAAAACTTTACCTTATAATTTTTTTTAAAGAGAATGAAAAAAAAAACATATGTGAAAGGAGAAAATAGAATCACTGACAACAAGAAATGGCAGAAGAAAAGATGCTCAAAAATAGAAGTAGTAGAAGAGGACCCTCTTCTATTTACTACGGCAATGAAGAATCAAACTATCACTATATTTATTCCTTTTCTATGTCTATTTCATTTTATATGGTGTTTAATTGGGCATGTAGTTTAGGAGAGAAAAAGACTTTTGAAACATAAGCCCTCTTTCTCTCTATACACACACACACATTCTTTTGTTTCGAGATTAGGATCTTGTTGTGATGTCATTCCTTTTTCTTTTTCTTTTATTTATACTGGAACCATTGAATTCATTAGATACCGATTTCTATCTCGGAAACGTGTTTTCTCCTCTTTGATTTTCTTAACTATCTTCTATGGAGACTTTTTTTTGTCCAATCAAAAATGATTTTATCATTTTGGAATCCGCAATTCAATATGGATTGATATATACCCCATCTACATGTCTCTCTTCCTGCCATTTTGCCATTCAATTTGGAATACTTAAACGGTCAATTCTTTTGTTTTATCTTCACTTTCGCTTGAACATATGTATGTGTATATATCACAATTATCTAAGAGTCTTATGGTTTTCAACATGCCCATGGTTTTCCTACAAGAGCATGTTGTTGAAGGCTTATTAGAATGTTATACTAAAGAGTTCCCAAACATGCAGTGTCATCCTTTTGGAATGGACCAAAATGAAAATCGTGTCATAAGATGGAATAGGGAGTAAGTGTGAAACGAATCAAGAGAACAAAATCATACTCATCAAAAACGTATTAAGAAAGGAAGAAAGAGTAATAAGAGAGGAGTCATTCAACATAGAAGGAGAGGAAGACAATAGACAGAATGCCATAGTGCACTTGGAGAGGGTCCAAGTACTTTTCTTTCCTCATCATTTAACTTCTAAGGAAAAAACATATTTTTGCTTGTGTTGCTTTGCGCTTCACCATCTGAGGCGTGTACTCGCTCTTAGCAATAGCCGCATCACTTAAGCCATCAGAAGCGATACCTCTTTTTTCGTGTCACTCTGACACTTAACTGATATGGGATTGCTTTTAGTAGCACAGTTTTTCTGTATTAGTGTTTCAATTTAGGGCTTTATACTAGACCAGTCTTCTCATTGTCTAGAAATTGAGATCCGAAAACTCTTGAGAAGCCTCTTTGGCTTCATAATTGTCTAGGGCATCAAATCCTGCAGTTTCTGTTTGATGTGTTGGATTGTTTATGAAACGCTCTTCAAACGGGGAAAGTTTCCTGGCAAACCTGATGCTAGCTTTCTGTGTGTTTCTTCATAGAACTCCTTATCGTGTTCCTCAAGCAGTAAGCTTGATCTACGTGGAGTAACTCCTGTTTTTGTATCATGAAGTAACTCCATTGTGCTGAGTGTTTCATTTTTTCCCTTTAATTTTCAAGCACATTTTGCATATACTGCTGTTAAGCCTTACTGAAAGAAATAGCGTAGCTTGTCGTCAACCCATGGTCCAAAGCCATACAGTGATAGCTAGTGTTTTGCTTTAAGAGACTAGATTGATCTATCATATGGATAAATTTATCAAGATGTCAAAACAAACTTCCTTTCATTCTTTGGCCATTTCCTCTCTGATGTTAGATATTTGCTCTAAGGGAGAGCTTCCTAATTATCAAGAATCAGATAACTGAGTTTCCTGCATGTGATTTAGCTTCTTGGGAGGAGCAGTGGCTTTCAAGTAGCACCAACTCATCGCCCATGTACCAAAGGCATTTGGTTGTGGAGTGCACCTTTGCGAAGAACAGCTCTTGATGGAACAGAATACAACCTTCTACTTCTGGACACAGAGGGAATAGATGCTTATGATCGTAAACGGTTAGTATTTTACGACTTAAACTATTTTGTACTATTGGTTGTACGTAAGGAAAAAAACGGGACAACTATTCTTTACACTTCACCACTACTCTTTACTTTCCGT